AAGGGCAGGATGGCGCTTCCGATGACCAATGAGAGGCTGTTGAGGGCGGTACGGTGCTTCCACTGACCAATGATAAGCTGGCAGGGGCAGGACGGAGCAGCCGCTTACCAATGACAGGCTGGTGGGGTTAGGACGGCCCTGCCGATGACCATTGAGAGGCTGGTGTAAGGAGGGACAGTGCTGCCGATGACCAATGAGAGGCTGTCAAGGGCAGAATTTCATTTCAATGACCAATGAGAGTCTGGCGAGGATGGGACAGTGCTGCCAATGACCAATGAGAGACTGGCAAGAGCAGAACGGCGCATGCCGATGACCAATAAGACGCTGGCAGGGGTGAGACTACTCTGCCGATGACCAATAAGACGCTGGCGAGGGCGGGTCGGTGTTGCCAATGACCAATGAGAGGCTGGTGAGGGCGGGACTGCGCTGCCACTGACCAATTTTAGGCTGGCAGGGGCGGGATGGCGTTGCCAATGACCAATGAGAGGCTGGCAGAGGTGGGACAGTGTTGCCCATGGCCAATGAAAGACTGTCGAGGGCGGGACAGTTCTGCCGATGACCAATGAGATGCTTGCAGGGGCGGGACTGTGCTGCCGATGACCAATAAGATGCTGGCAATGGCGTTGCAGTGATGCCGATGTCCAATGAGAGCTTGGCGAGTGCGGGATTGCATTGCCAATGACCAATGAGAGTCTGGCGAGTATGGGACAGTGCTGCCAATGACCAATGAGGGGCTAGCGAGTGAGGGATGGAGCCGCCGATGACCAATAAGACGCTGGCGGAGGTGGGACGGTGTTGCCCATGGCCAATGAAAGACTGTCAAGGGCGGGACAGTGCTGCCGATGACCAATGAGAGGCTTGCAGGAGCAGGACTGTGCTGCCGATGACCAATAAGATGCTGGCAAGGGCGGGACAGCGCTGCCAATGACCAATGAGAGGCTGGCGAGGGCGGGATTGCATTGCCAATGACCAATGAGCGTCTGTCGAGTATGGGACAGTGCTGCCGATGACCAATGAGAGAATGGCGGAGGCGGGACTGCGCTGCCACTGACCAATGATAGACTGGCAGGGGTGGGATGGCGTTGCCACTGACCAATGAGAGGCTGGCAGAGGTGGGTCGGCGCTGCCGATGACCAATAAGACGCTGGCAGGGGCGAGACTGCGCTGCCAACGACCAATAAGACGCTGGCGAGGGTGGAAAGGCGTTGCCGATGACCAATGAGAGGCTGTTGAGGGTGGGACGGCGCTGCCACTGACCAATGAGAGGCTGGCAGGGGCAGGACGGAGAAGCCGCTGACCAATGAGAGGATGGCGGGGGCGGGACCGTACTGCCGATGAGCAATGAGAGGCTGTTGGGGCGGAACGGAGCAGCCGATGACCAATAAGACGCTGGTGAGGGCGGGACGGTGCTGCCGATGACCAATGAAAGGCTGGTGGGGGTGGGACGGAGCAGCCGCGGACCAGTGAGAGGCTGGCGGAGGTGGGACAGCGCTGCCAATGACCAATGAGAGCCTGGCAGGAGTGAGACTACGCTGCCAATGACCAATAAGACGCTGGCGACGGCGGGTCGGTGCTGCCGAAGACCAGTGAGAGGCTGGCGGAGGCGGGACTGCGCTGCCACTGACCAATGATAGACTGGCAGGGGCGGGATGGCGTTGCCAATGACCAATGATAGGCTGGCAGAGGCGGGAAGGCGCTGCTGATGACCAATAAGACGCTGGCAGGGGCGAGACTGCGCTGCCAACGACCAATAAGACGCTGGCGAGGGCGGGAAGGCGTTGCCGATGACCAACGATAGGCTGGTGTGGGTGGGACGGCGCTGCCACTGACCAATGAGAGGCTGGCAGGGGCAGGACGGAGAAGCCGCTGACCAATGAGAGGCTGGTGGGGGTAGGACGGCGCTGCCGATGACCAGTGAGAGGCTGGCGGAGGTGGGACAGTGCAGCCGATGAGCAATGAGAGGCTCGCGAGGGCGGGATGGTGCCTCCGATGACCAATAATAAGGTGGCGGAGGCGGGATGGCGTTGCCATTGACCAATGAGAGTCTGGTGAGTATGGGACAGTGCTGCCAATGACCAATGAGAGGCTGGTGAGGGCGGGACGGCGTTGCCACTGACCAATGATAGGCTGGCAGGGGCGGGATGGCGTTGCCCATGATCAATGAGAGGCTCATAAGGGTGGGACGGCGCTGCCTATGGCCAATGAGAGGCTGGTGTGGGCGGGACCGAGCAGCCACTGACCAATGAGAGGATGGCGGGGGCGGGACGGTACTGCCGATGAGCAATGTCAGGCTGGTGGGAGCAGGACAGCGCGGTTGATGACCAATGAGAGGTTGGTGGGGGCGGTACGGAGCAGCTGATGACCAATAAGACGCTGGCGAGGGCGGGACGGTGCTGCCGATGACCAATGAGAGGCTCACGAGTGAGGGATGGAGCCACCGATGACCAATAATACAGTGGCGGAGGTGGGATGGTGTTGCCCAGGGCCAATGAAAGACTGTCGAGGGCGTTACAGTGCTGCCAATGACCAATGAGAGGTTGGTGAGGGCAGGACTGTGCTGCCGATGACCAGTAAGACGCTGGCAGGGTTGAGACTACGCTGCCAATGACCAATAAGACGCAGGCGAGGGCAGGTCGGTGCTGCCGATAACCAGTGAGAGGCTGGCGGAGGCGGGACAGCACCGCCACTGACCAATGATAGGCTGGCAGGGGCGGGATGGCGTTGCCAATGAGCAATAAGACGCTGGCAAGGGCAGGACGGCGCTTCCAATGACCAATAAGACGCTGGCGAGGCCGGGACGGTGTTGCCGATGACCAATGAGTGTCTGGCGAGTATGGGACAGTGCTGCCAATGACCAATGAAATGATGGCAAGGGATGAACGGCGCTGCCGATGACCAATAAGATGCTGGCGAGAGCGGGTCAGTGCTGCCGATGACCAATGAGAGACTGGCGGAGGCGGGACGGCGCTGCCACTGACCAATGATAGGCTTGAAGGGGCGGGATGGCGTTGCCTATGACCAATGACAGGCTGGCAGGGGCAGAACGGCACTGCCGATGACCAGTAAGACGCTGGCAAGGGCGGGACGGCGCTGCCGAAGACCAATGAGAGGCTGTTGAGGGCGGGACGGCGCTGCCACTGACCAATGATCTCTCTCGGTTTGACCACAGCAAGGGAGAGAGTCCACTACAGGCTGGGGGCTGCAATCTCTGCTTGCTTCTCGCAGTTACACCACCCATCTATCTCCCTCTCACAGTCTCTAATGGATCTTAACCTCTCCACCTCCTCCCTAAGCTCCACCACAAGGCTGAGCAGCTCGTCCACCTGCTCACACCTCACACAGGCTGCATCCCTCCCATCGTCCCCCGGCAGCAGCATCCATCCCATCGATGGATCTCCACCCCATAGATCCCATTAGCATCCACCCCATAGATGGATCTCCACCCCATAGATCCCATTAGCATCCATCCCATAGATGGATCTCCATCCCATAGATCCCATTAGCATCCATCCCATTGGGATCTCCATCCCATAGATCCCTGCCCCATACAATCCCTGCCCTATAGATCCCCACCCCATGGCACTGAACACGTGGGCACCAAAAGCCGTGCTTGGCAACAGACTTAATGAGAGATTTAACGAGTGCAGCGCTATAATTAGAGACCGAACACAAGGAACGCTGCATGATCCCAGCATGGTAATTAACCAAGAGTGAAATGAACCAAATGAAGGCCAAACTAATCGGGAAAGGAACAACTGCATGGATTGGGGACTTGGGGACACACTGGGGACAGATTGGGGACATGATGATGCGTGGGGGACATGTTGGGGACACACTGAGGACACAACGGGGACACATTGAGGACACACAGGGGACACGATGGGAACACATGGGGGACACACTGGGGACATGCTGGGGATCCATCAGGGACACATGAGGACATGTTGGGGACACATTGGGGACATGCTGGGGATCCATCAGGGACACATGAGGACATGCTGGGGACACATTGGGGACATACTGGGGACTCATCAGGGACACATGGGGGATATGTTGGGGACACAACAGGGACAAGCTGGGGACACACTGATGATGCATTGGGGACACATTGGGAACATATTAAGGACACACAGGGGACACGTTGGGGACATTCAAGGGATCCGTGAGGGACACACTGGGGACAGGTTGGGGACACATTGATTGATTACACATTGGGGACATGTTGGGGACACACAGAGGACGTGATGGGGGCACATTGGGAACACACTGGGGACACATTGGGGACATGTGGACACACAGAGGATGACGGGGACACACTGGAGACATGGCTGGGGACATGTTGGGGACCCATCAGGAACACATGGTGGACATGCTGGGAACACACTGGGGACACACTGAGGGTATGTTGGGGACACATTGAGGACACACTGGGGACACAGTGGGACACGCTGGGGACATGCTGGGGATCCATCAAGGACACACTGAGGATATGTTGGGGACACACTGGGGACACATCAGGGATACATGGGGAACATGTTGGGGACACGTTGAGGACACACTGGGGACACACTGAGGATATGTTGGGGACACACCAGGGACATGCTGGGGACACACTGATGTTGCACTGGGGACACATCGGGGGCACATTGAGGACACACAGGGGACACATTGGGGACATGCTGGGGATCCAGCAGGGACACACTGGGGACATGTTGGGGACACACTGAGGACACACTGGGGAAACAGTGACGGCACACTGGGGACACGGTGAGGATATGTTGGGGACACATTGGGGACACACTGAGGACACACAGGGGACATGGGAACACAGTGGGGACACACTGGGGACATGTTGGGGACACACTGACGATGCGATGGGGACACGTTGGGGACATATGGGGCACTTATTGGGGACACTGGGGCCATGTTAGGGACACATTGAGGACACGATGGGGACTTTTTGGGGACCCATCAGGGACACATTGCAGACACATGGAGGATGTGTTGGGGACACCTCAGGGACACATGGGGACATGCCATCCCAGGGCCAGCCCAGTGTTATTCTGGTGCCACCCCAATGCCATCCCTGTTATTCTTGTGCCATTTTGGTCCCATTTTGGTGCCATCTCAGTCCCACCCCAATGCCATCCCACTGCCATTCCTGTGTCATTGTGCTCCCATTTTGGTTCTGTTTTGTTGCCACCCCAGTGCCACCCCAATGTCACCATGGTGCCACCCCAATGCCATCCCTGTGTCATCCTGGCACCATTTTGATCCCGTTTTGGTGCCGTTTTGGTGCCATTTTGGTGCCATCCCAGTTCCATCCCATCACCATTGTGGTGCCACCCCAATGCCATCCCTGTGTTATCCTGGCTCCATTTTGGTGCCATCCCAGTGCCACCCCAATGCAGTGCTGGTGCCATCCCAATATCATCCCAATGCCACCCCAACGCCACTGTGGTGCCACCCCAGTGCCACCCTGTGTTATTCTGGTTCCATTCTGGTGCCATCCCAGTTCCATCCCAACGTCATCATAGTGTCACTCCAATGCCAACCCAACGCCATTCTGGTTCCATCCCAGTGCCATCCCAGTGTTATTCTGGTCCCAGTTCCATCCCATTGCCATTGCGGTGCCACTCCAGTGCCATCCCTGTATTCTGGCACCATTTTGATCCCATTTTGGTGCCATTCTGGTGCCATCCCAATACCACCCCAATGCCATCCCAGTTCCATCCCAACACCATTCTGGTTCCATCCCAGTGCCACCCCTGTGTTATTCTGGTGCCACCCCAGTTCCATCCCAACGTCATCATGGTGCCAACCCAATGCCATCCCAGTTCCGTCCCAACATCATTCTGGTTCCATCCCAGTGCTGCCCCTGTGTTATTCTGGTACCACTTTGGTGCCATCCCAATGCCACCCCAACACAATTCTGGTGCCATCTCAATGTTATCGCAGTGCCACCCCAACGCCATTCGGGTTCCATCCCAGTGCCATCCCTGTGTTACTCTGGTCCGATTTTGATGCCATCCCAGTTCCATCCCAACGCCATTCTGGTTCCATTCCAATGCCACCCCAACACAATTCTGGTGCCATCCCAATATCATCCCAATGCCACCCCAACGCCATTGTGGTGCCACCCCAGTGCCATCCCTGTGTTATTCTGGTCCCATTTTGGTGCCATTCTGGTGCCATTCCAATACCATCCCCATGCCATCCCAGTTCCGTCCCAAAGCCATTCTGGTGCCACCCCAATGCCATCCCAACATCATCATGGTGCCACCCCAACGCCATTCTGGTTCCATCCCAGTGCCACCCCTGTGTTATTCTGGTGCCATTTTGGTGCCATCCCAACGCCGTTTGTTTCCATCCCGGTTCCGTGGTGGCGCTGCTCCCATCTCCAGCTCCCATTCCACATCACCGCGTCACCGCCGCCTCCACGCCGATGTTGTTGAGGAGGAAGAGCTCCGGGCGCGCAGCGAAGGCCCAGCAGCGCTGTGGGGGGGGGAAAGGGAGACCATCAGCACTGCCCCAAAAAATGGGACCAGAGCAACAGCGGCACCGAGCTGCGCGCCTTGCCCCAAATCTCTGTGTGTGTGTGTGTGTTGTCACACCCAACGTGGCACTGTTGCACCCAACGCAGTGTTGTCACACCCAACGCGTTGCTGTCACACTCAACATGGTGTTGTCACACCCAATGTCTTGTTGTCACACTCAGTGTGGTGCTGTCACACCCAACGTGGCACTGTTACACCCAGTGCAGTGTTGCTATCACACTCAACATGGTGTCATCACACCCACCATGGTGTTGTCACACCCAATGTGGCACTGTTACCCCCAATGCAGCGTTGTCACACCCAACATAGCATCATCACAGCCGATGTAACCTTGTCACACCCAACCCGGTGTTGTCACACCCCATGGAGCACCGTTAAACTCAGTGCAGTGTTCTTACACCCAACATGGGGTTGTCACAGCCAACACAACGCTGTCACATCCAATGTGATGCTGTCACACCCAACGCAGTGTTGTCACACCCAATGGAGGTTTGTCCTACCCAGCACGGTGTTATCACACCCAGCACAGCACTGTTACACCCACTGTGGGGTTTCCACACCCAACGCAGCACTGTTGCACCCAACACGGCGTCATTACACTCCAGGCGTTGTCAATCCCAGTGTAGTGTTGTCACACCAGAGCACTGTTGTCACACCCAATGGGTTGCTGCCAACCCCCAATGTAGTACCGTTACACCCAACGTGGGGTTTTCACACCCGACATCGCACTGTTACACCCAATGCAGCATTGTTACACCCAATGTAGCACTGTTACACCCAATGCAGCGTTGTTACACCCAATGTAGCACTGTTACACCCAATGTAGCACTGTTACACCCAACATGGTGTCATCACACCCAATGCAGCATTGTCACACCAACGCAGTGTTGGCGCACCCAACACAGTGTCATTACACCTCATGCCGTGCTGTCACACCCAACATAGCACTGTCACACCCAATGCAGAGTTGTTACACCCAATGTAGCACTGTTACACCCAGCATGCTGTCACCACACCCCACACGGTGTTGTCACACCCGAGGCACCATTGCTACACCCAATGCAGGACTGCCGCATGTGGCACAGCGTTGTCACACGCGACGCAGTGTTGTCACACTCAGCACAATGTTGTCACACCCAGTGCAGCACTGCTACACCTGACAAAGTGTCACGGCGCCACACCTGACGCAGCACTGTTGCACCCAGCGGAGGTTTGTCGCACCCAACACAGTGTCGGCGCATCCAACACAGCGCTGTTACACCCAACAGGGCGCCGTTACACCCGACGCTCTGTTGTCACACCCAGCATCATCGTTACACCCCACACGGCGCTGTCACAGTTACACTCAGTGTAGCACTGTTACACCCGACACAGCAGTGCTGCCACACCTGACACGGCGCCATTGCACCCAGGGCAGTGTTGTCTCGCTCCACATAGCGTTGTTACACCGTTGTTACACCCAGTGTAGGACTGTCACACCCAACACAGCACTGTTACACCCAACATGTTGCTGTCACCCCCAATACAGCACTGCTGCACCCAACACAGCGCCGTTACACTCAGAGTAGCATTGTCACACCCAGCATGGTGTTCTCCCACCCAACACCCCCAACGCAGTGTTGTCACACCCAATGGAGGTTTGTCCCACCCAGCACGGTGTTGTCACTCCCAGCACAGCACTGTTACACCCACTGTGGGGTTTCCACACCCGACACAGCATTGTCACACCCAATGCAGCACTGCTGCACCCAACATGGTGTCATTACACTCCATGCGTTGTCAATCCCAGAGCACTGTTGTCACTGTTGTTGCTGCCAACCCCCAGTGTAGCACCGTTACACCCAACGTGGGGTTTTCACACCCAACATAGCATTGTTACACCCGACGTAGTGTTGTCACCCCCAACATATTGTTACACCCAACATGGTGATGTTACACCCACTGTAGTGTTGTCACCCCCAACATATCGTTGTTACACCCAACATGGTGCCATTACACCCAACGTGGCACTGTTACACCAAACATAGTGTTGTCACACCCAACACAGTGCCACTACACCCCATGCAGCGTTGTCACACCCAGCGCAGCACTGTCACACCCCACAGTGTTCTCACACCCCATGAGGCACCGTCACCCCCAACCTCACACAGTTACACCCAACACAGTGTTGTCACACCCCACGCAGTGTGCTCACACCCCATGTAGAACCGCCACACCTGACGCACTGTAATCACACCCAACGTGGCACTGTTAGAGCTGATGGAGCGTTGTTACACCCAACACAGCGTCGTCACACCCGACGCAGTGTTGTCACACCCGATGCAGACTCGTTACACCCAAAGGAGTGTTGTTACAACCGACGCGGTGTTGTCACACCCGACGTAGCATCGTTACACCCGACGGAGTCTCATCAAACCCGACGCAGTGCTGTCACACCCGATGGAGCGCTGTTACAGCCAACGCAGTGCTGTCACACCCAACACAGCATTGGTGCACCTGAGGTAGTGTTGTCACACCTGATGGAGTGTTGTCACACCCGACACAGCATTATTACACCTGATGGAGCGCTGTCACACCCGGCGCAGCACTGTCACAGCCCATGTAGCGTTGTCACACTCAACATAGTGTTGTCACACCCGATGCAGCGTTGTCAAACCCGATGGAGTGTCATCACAGCCCACGTAGTGTTGTCACACCTGATGCAGCGTTGTCACACCCGGCGTAGTGTTGTTCTTGTCACACCCGACGTAGTGTTGTTGTTGTCGCACCCGATGTAGTGTTGTTGTCACACTCAACGTAGTGTTGTTGTTGTCACACCCCATGTAGTGTTGTTGTCGTCACACCCAACCTCATGTTGTCACAACCAATGCAGTGTTGTCACCCCACCACGTCGGCGCCGCACAGCAGTGCCACAGTTCAGTGTCACGCGTTGGTTTGTGTGTGCAAACGTTGTTGGTGGTGCTCAGTGCCCGGGGAGGGCGCACACACACACACACAGACACACACACACACTCAGGAATGTACACACACGATGACACACCCAGAGGGGGAACGCACACAGGGATGCACTCATACAGAGGTGTGCAAACATAGATGGGCACATGGGGGCAGGCACACACACACACAGGGATGTGCACCCATGGGGACACATTGGGATGCACACATACAGGGCTCACACACACACAGCTCACACACACACGCAGACCCGTGCTGTCACACTCGCACACGCGCGCTGCGGGCGCTACTTGCCACCGTGCGCAGGGCTGGGCTCGGGCAGCAGGCTGCGCGTGACGCTTACCGTGCTACCGCAGGACAGCGCCGAGGCCCCCAGCGCGATCAGACACAGCCAGGTCTGCAACGACAGCAGGACAGAGCCTCACATCCCTCCTGCCCCACGCGTGCTCCTTCCTGCCCCACATATGCACTCCTTCCTGCCCCATATGCACTCCTTCCTGCCCCACGTGCCCCTTC